ATATATATATATATATATATATATATATATATATATATAATCTTCAAATAGGTTGTTAAGAGTATGTTTGAAAACAAACTCAAGGAAACGAGCTCAACTCCCTGCTGCGCTGACGAAGACTTTGCATCAGTGGAAGCGGGATTTCCGGCGTGCCCTGAAGGCAGCATCTGATCCCGAAGCCTGCAGATGAAAAAGGTTCTGTTCTCCGTCATGTTCTAGTTTTTTTGGTCATGGCTAAACAGTACGACGTCTTGTTCAGGTTGCTTCTCCTCGGAGACTCCGGAGTGGGGAAGACCTGCATGCTGCGAAGGTTCACGGAAGGTGAATTTGATCCTTCGCATATTTCCACCATCGGTAAGACTAGAAAAGTCATCAGACAAGTTCTCAGTGTTTCAGCCACAGGATGAACCGGATAAACACTCAGTATAGGACAACTCTACATGTCTGAGAATTATTTTTAGTATTTATTCTGCCATCGTTGTTTTTCCCTTTTATATTGAATTTATTTATTGGTATAATATCACGGACTACTTCAGGTCCCTTTGCAAATAGTTAGTTTTTTCTAAAACCCTAAAACATTTTGAAAGAAAAAGAAAGTCTAAACTAAATGTCACTCTTTCTCAGTCTGATTCTTCTTCCTGTGTTTTTGTTTTGTTTTTAGAACAAAAAGTGTGGATTGATGAACACATTAGGGCTTAATATGTCCCCTGCTCCTTTTCCTCTCCACTTCTCCCTCATTATTCACTTAGATGGAAAATGTAGCTGGTTGGGCTTTAATGTGCCATGACTAAAAATATCAATTCTCTGCTTTATAGTGTGAAGCATTAAGCCGGGTTATAAATGTCATGAGACTAGTAGGCCGGGCTCAGCTTAACATTGGATTAAACTCTGTTATTTGAGCATTGGACATGAAATCTGGGCTTTAGATCTCTGCAGGCAGTACCTTCAAAAAGTATTCAAGCAACTTGATATTTTCAAAATTTGTAATGTTATGGATCAATATATTTTGGGTTTTTTATTTGACAATCTTAAAAAAAAACATGTCTAATGATTTCTATTATATTAATCTAAAAGTTTATTCATCCCCTTTGCTCTGATACCCCTTAAATAAAATCTGATTTAAATGTTTACAATATAACCTTATTACCAAGAGTCGGCTTATCTCAGTTTAAATGCAGCTGTTCTGCATAGAGCCTCAGAGGGTTTATTTATCTGCATCTATATAGTTGAGAAGGATTGAAAACTTCAAACATCTCATATTACTTTAACAGAACATTTTATTTCTTCAGTACATCTGCAAAAAAGTTGGAGCTGTAGTTTACTTAACTCTTTAAAGCAGACACTTCCAATTGATCTGACTTTACAAAAAAAGTGGCAAAAATGTCATTTTTTGATGCATAAAGCTGGTGGAGCTATACCTCAAATGAATTACAGCTGTAAATGCTGCAAAAATGTTTCTTAGAAGTGTTTAATGAGAGGGATACATGCAAACACCTGCCAAACTTCTTATTTGATCATTTCTGGAAATAAATTTAAAAAATACAATTATGCACTTCCTGTTGTAGGTTGAGTATTTTAATTCTGTATCATAATTTCTGTTAAAATCCCATCTAAATACACAAATGAATGTGGAAGTTATCTGGGAAGATTGGAAAAACTTCAAGGGTTATAAATGCTTTTTGCAAAGCACTGGAGCTCCTGCAGAAGGTTTGAAACATTCACCAGCAATAATTTGGCATCACATAGTGTGAGAGATGCAGACGGACTAATTGGACGGCATGAATCCACGCCAAGCATTGAATCCTTCATGGGTCAGAGAGTAGATGTGTACTGAAAAAAAAAATTAAAGGGTGGATTTTAAACTTCCTTCTACATAGCTATTGTTTTCAAAAATATTTGCTGACGTAAATCCTAATTTTGATACCAATTAGGAAGATTCTAAGAAACGATTCAGAGAATGTTTCTTATAAAAGATGAATCAATTTAAATGCTGTTTTTAAAAACAAGTTTCCCTCACTAAACATTTTGTCTGTGTTCGTAGGATGAGGATAAAGTTCATAAAGGACTGTGTACAATCTGTGTTTTAATATAACCCAGTTATGCTGTCACTGAGCATAAACAGTGTCACCGTCTCATAATTAGCACATAATGGTGTCTCTGAGCTACAGCTTTGAATCCTCACAAGTTACTTATTTAAAGTCACAAATAGGCCTATTTTCTACCCAATGGCCAAAAGTGATCCATGCATTATCTTTGGAGAATTTTCTGTATTGTGAAGAAACTTTAAGCCTAGAAAAGCCCAAAGAGCTGTTGTCTTTAAGGGAAAATGTTTCCTGATCGAACCGGTTATGCTCTGCTTGCAGAACATATTTTCAGAGTCATGCAAAAGGCTTATTGTTGCACATGCTCCCCAGCTTCCTGCTGGGAGAGATCACTTAGAATATGAATCAGAGGGACCACGACTTCTAAAGAGTACAGTCTTCATGTAAGTTTGAACCAAATAGAAAACTTAATGCTGGAATTTTAAGTTGCAAAGTATTTTATTAAAGATTCAAAAGTTCCCTTCGGTTCATCTTTTTATTTATTTTTTTGTTATTTCACAAAAAATATATAAAATAACATACAGAAGTATTAAAGATAGAAGTGTTTCAGCTGAAGAATGTTAGGATCAAACTAGTGATTAGTGGGCATAATGTTCTATTTTGTTTTTCCTTTTTTTTTTATAATCCTTTGATTAGCAGAAAAACTTGTGAATTTATTACCTGTAATCAAAACAATTTCTTCCCCAGAGATAAGGAAAAAAAACAGCTCCTATATGTTCAAATTTCTTTACAAAGAACAGCACAGTTATTTTTCAAAATTATTCCATGTAACTGTGCAAAAATCCCACTTCAGTTTTGGTTATATTGCAGATTAGAGAAATTTATTGCACCATGCAAACTGGTGAGTTTAAGGGACCCGGACGTCAATTCACTTTGCAGCAATGCTTCCTGTTAAATAAGCATGAGACGATACTAAACGGCCGATTGTATCAAGTCATGCACTGCCACTGAAAATCCTTCTTTTTTTTTTTTGGTTTTTAGAGATTTCTTTTGCGTCATCTGTAACAAAATTCTCCCTTCCTGTTTTTTTTTTGTTTAGGAGTGGATTTTAAAATGAAAACTATAGAGATTGATGGACTCAGGGTCCGGGTACAGATTTGGTACGTTGTCGATTCTTTCAATACAGAAAATAACTTTTCACCTGAATGCCGATAGCTCTCTTTATGACTGTTCTCTTAAGTGTTTTATCTACTGTGCAGGGACACCGCTGGACAGGAGCGCTATCAGACTATCACCAAACAGTACTACAGGCGGGCCCAGGTATTAATATTACAAACTTTACTTTAATTGATCAAAAATTCCTTCATTCCTCCTCCTAATCGTTTGTTGCAGGGTATTATATTTGTGTATGACATCACAGACAGGGCGTCTTTTCAGCACATAGCGAAGTGGGCCGGTGATGTAGATGAAGTAAGAGCTCTAATTTAACTCTAATTACTCTTTCATCAGGTTGATGGAGCAATTTACTCCACTGTTTGGGTTCCAATGTTCTTTTTTTTTAACGTACAGAACGCTCCAGATGATGTTCAAACCATTTTGGTTGGAAACAAAGCAGACGAAGAGTGCAGCAGACAAGTAACAAAGGAACAAGGACAAAAGGTACAATTAGGCTTCTCAGTTATTTACTGGTTTCCAGAAAGTTGATTTGTGAAGAAGGAAGTACAAACCTGCAAATGAATTGAAATGTTATCAGAAGGTTCCATTATTTCTGTTATTCAATTCAAAACAAATACAACACAGATGAATTAAACACAGGCAGATGTTTTCCAGCTTGAAGATTGATTCAGACCCATACAAATTTATCATAAAAATGGAAGCTTAATAAAAAAGTTTGTCTACTATCCACTTAAATGCTGTCATTTTTTTTTTTAATTAATGCATATTTAATTTACTTTGAAGAGATGTGACCTTATTAAATCTTACAGCTAGCAGAAACCTACGGCATGGAGTTCTTTGAGGCCAGCGCTTCCACCAGCAGCAACATCAGCGAGGTATTGCTGATCCAGAATAAATCTCATTTTAGTTATATTTATAGTGTCTTCTAAAAGTGATTATGCCCCTTTTATTTCCTCAAACTATATTGAATAATAATGGAAATTTATCTAGCAAAGACAACACACTACAGAACATCATTATGATTCCAGATTATACACAGGAAGATATGAAAAATATATTTTTTCATATTTGAACCACTGCTTGCAGTCGACAGGAGTTTATTTTTGGTGCTTTGTGTGAGACTGAGTTGCATTTTATTCATCCCCAAAATTTGAATGAAACTTCTATAAAACTTGTATTTTGATTAGTTTGATAGCAGCAAAAGGGGAGATTACTTTCAACATAACAATAATAATAATTATCATTATTCTAAAACTTGTAAATTCATTGGCTCTCTAGCCAGTTAAATTACCTTTAAAACATGGCTTATTTTAGTAATGCAGCCAAGATATATAGCCATATAGTAAAAGGCACAGAGCCAGATCTATTCTTGGATCATTGCACACTTTTAGATAATTAGATGGAAAGTTTGAAAAATGAAAAAAAAAATATTTGCTTTAAAATTATTTTGTGGCCATCAAAATGTGGTAAAATTGTTGAGTAAAAGCAATATGCAAAATTTGTAATAATTTGGCATATTTTGGAGAGGTTTGGATATGCTGATGACTTCAGAAGTTACTTTGAATCATGTTTGAACTGATGCAGTTTAGGCTGTGTTTTAGTCACATGGTTTTTATATTTTCAGAAACTAAAAAGTGTTAGCTTTCTAGTTTCTAATTTGGGCTTACAGTTCCTTAGTAATTTGCTTTTCCATTTTGGGTATGCAAAAAGGCAAGAATTACTTAAAATTAGGTGGATGTTAAGAGGTTAATACATTGTACACACACAAAATACACTGAGGTTTGTGATTTTTATTGTGATAAATCTAAAAAAAATAAATATGTAGCATGGCTTTTAAAAGGAATTTAATATTTCTCCATCTTTTCTTGCTGTAGTCATTCATACGTGTGACAGAACTGGTTCTTCAAGCTCAAAAGAGAGACGTGGACAACCTTCTGGGGTCTCTGGACAGCTATTTGGATCAGGTCGCTCTGCAGGAAGAGAAGAGCAGTCAGGATAATCACACACAGAGGACTTGTGCCTGTTAAAGGATGAAGGCTGTAGGAATATCTAAGGTTACATCTTTTTAACTGCTTACTGACTGCTTAAAACATAACTTCACACACTGGAGGGCGCTGGATCTCTTAATTTTTTAATGTAGGTTGCAAAGGATGCAGTAAACAGCAGCTGCCAGCAGAGGGCGTGTCTGGCTGAATGAACAGGAAATTTTGGTGCCAGATAAGTGTGTTCAACTCAAATTAATTCTCTCTTCAAATGTGAATTTTTACTATATATATATATATGCATCATGGATTTATCACTGGATTTATTTACTTTTTGATTTTTATTGTCATTTTTATTATTAGTTGATGCTCAAAGGAACATTAACAACCATATTTTTTCAATGACTATTACAGAAAGGTCAGATCACAGATCTAATTTATTAAGCTAGAAACTCGAACCAAATTGGGGTAGTTTCATTTAATCTGTGGACTTTCGCCTCAAAGGAAACACAGCTGTGCCATGTGGAGGAATATTTATCAAAATGTTGCTTTAAGAACTCATTTTTCAATACTTTTGAAAAATTGAAGACATGTCCTACACTGAAAATACTGCTACAGACAAGGAGATTCATGTTTCTTAAGGAGATTGTTGAAGTTTGTTATAAAATTCTAAATAAGAACTGAAATTTTAATGTAAAACAACTGTTTCCATGTTTAAACAAAACAAAATTGTCAATCCTAAGAGTCATTTCATCAGGACTGCATTGATGTTAGGTGTACGGGGAGTTCAGTCAGTAGCCTCATATAATTTTCATCAGATCCTGGCAGATGTAGCTGATTGTTTTAATTTTTGATGACTAAGAAAGCTGATACACGTACAAAGAGCTGCAGAATAGCCAAACACACTAAATTAAACTAGCTTCTCAAACGAGTTCTGTCATTTTTTTTTATTTTCTACACTTTATTTACTTTATTCAAGACTTTTATGTTATACAATAAAATATTTCTGTGTATTTCGACCTGTTAATTATGTTAAAATAATAATGATTGCTTATGAAGTAGAAAAAAAAAACAAAGTCCTGCAAACATTTGGGTCCAACTTTCTGTGCTTTGATATTTCTAAACAAAATCTATTACAATCGACTGGCTTCAGAAGTATAGTCTAACATTAATCAGGCCTTAACATGAGTAAACAAGCAGCAACACAAAGAAGAAGAAACATCCCAGACTGTTTAGAGATGAGGTTTTGGAGAAACTGAAAACAGGGTAAAGTTATGAAATCCTGGTCATTAAAATCAGAATCAGATTGACTTATTCTATGATAAAAAATGGGCAAAAATGTAAGTTTTAATGAGCACAGCTGGTAGAAGCATAAAGCAAAGGATGTGAACCAATAATTTCAAGAAAGGTGGTTTTTCATGGTATTGGCTCTTCAAATGTACACCAGTGTTTTCAGGGTTTTATTTTGTCATTTTGATTTTACTTAGTGACTTTGCACTAATTTTATTGATAACATTTTCCTTCAAATGCACTTTATGTGATGTACTTGTTTGGCTTTTACAATCAGTTTCCTCCCTCTACTGTATCTGGAACTTGTATGGAGAGTTTATCACCAGGCGATCAGTTTCCTGCAGGGCAATATGACACCGTGAAAGGCAACTTTCTGCTCTGAGGGAGTCAGGTGATCCGGGTGTTGGATACAGTCGCGTTTTGAGCCCCAGTCTCCCTGTAAAGAGGCACCAAAATGACCTTCATTGCTAAGACTTTCTATGATCTGAGGGCCACCTCACTGGAAGGGGACTCTGTGGACTTCAATGTCTTCAGGGGACGCGTTGTCCTCATAGAAAATGTGGCCTCGCTCTGAGGCACCACCACCCGGGACTTCAGCGAGCTCAACCAGCTACAGAGCAAGTACCCCCATCGGCTGGTGGTCCTGGGCTTCCCTTGTAACCAGTTTGGATATCAGGTGAGTTGAGCTGCAGGTTCGTCTGAATTACTTGGATGTTAAATCTATGCTGCTGTTAAATACTTCAAAGATGAGCTAATTTCTTAAGGGGGATTTAGAAAAATGATTGGAGTTAGTAGAAAGAGATCCACAGCATTCATGTCTGTATTGCATGTTTTCAGGAGAACTGTAGCAATGGGGAGATTCTGCACTCACTGGAGCATGTACGACCAGGTGGGGGCTTCAAGCCCAACTTCACCTTGTTCGAGAAGTGCGACGTCAACGGAGCAAACACCCATCCAGTCTTTGCCTATCTGAAAGCCAAACTACCTTATCCTGAAGACGACTCTAGTTCCCTCATGCAGGATCCCCGATTTCTGGTGTGGAGTCCAGTCACCAGGGCAGACATCTCCTGGAACTTTGAGAAATTCCTCATCGGGCCTGAGGGAGAGCCTTTTAAGAGATACAGCAAGAATTTCCCAACTATTGATGTAGAGCCTGACATTCAAAGACTGCTTAGATTAACAAAGACCTAAGAATAGCCTCTGCTGCTTATGGCTTTTCATCCGTCACAGTCGACGCTGAAATGCTGGCCTCCACATTTTTAAGCCTTAGTAAATGAGGGTGATATTCTAAAGCGCTGATGGTATATCATCTGAGGTCATATAAGTGCTTAAAGATAGTGGAAGTTTAGTTTCATGTTTAGAAAATTTCTGGGAAATTAAAAGCAGTGTTTTATAGATATGATCAGATATGAAACTTTTAGTTTGTCTTACATTAGTGCTACCAGCAGATGGTGCTACCGAGTTAATCATGCAAATGGAAACCCCTGTCATGCTTTTATCAAATAGAAAAATTCAAACAATATGTTTGCACTGAAATAAAAACTTAAAATCCACATTGATCTCTCAGAGATGTTTTTTATTTTATTTTATTTATTTACTTTAAGTCTCAAAAAGCATCTACTGCCACTAAGCAAAGCTCACAATAAAGGTGTTTGAACAACTACCTAGAACAATAAATCTTGAGGTGCAGCAGAGGGAATTTGGTATTATTTTTAGAACCTTCTAAAATAACCAACAGGATATACATCAGCATTACGTACTGACCTCTAAGCAGCCAATTATTCAAGCTACATTTCCAGGTAAAATTTGCTGATTCAAGTAACCTATGCAGCTGCAGGAATGCATTAGTGCCACATAGCTTCCTAAAGACAGCTCCTAAATCAATCATTTAGGCATTGGCCTTGCTGTGGTGTGATAAGCTCTCATCCAGCTTTGGTTTTCCATGTACGGACAGCTTTGTTTGCAATGTCCGCAGATTAACATGGGATTTTCTGGACATCCGCTCACATTCACATCAGTTCATGATGTCAGAGCTGCAGCACAGGTCAGGCAGGGTCCTGATGGGTTTTGCATCGAATGCACTGGGGTCAAAGACGTAAGCCCACGACACTTTACAGCTTTTATCTGTGTTTGTGTTGGCTCTTATGTTATAAACTACATCCCTGATTTTGCATGTATACAAATGACACTAGAAAAAGTTTGGTTCTGATGCATGTCGACGTGTCATTTATTCAAAACCTACAACTGTCACTGATGCTTTGCTGCATTTCTGGTGTTCTGCTTGCAGGAAAAGATCATTAAAGGTATTCTGTTTATGATATAATTTACACAAGTCAAAAAGAAGTTGTATAAAATTAGAATATTTATATCAGAAAACATTTCCCAAGGATTAGAAAGAGTGGAATAGTATTATTCAACTCATAGATAACTGGTCCTACTGTTACAAGGGCGTAAGAGTCTGTGGCAATATTTAGGGCCCTGTCTCTGTGACTCGGAGACATGGGCACTTCTATAAATGTGTTACAAAAGAGGTAAGGTTTAAATAAGATGCTAATTTATATTTTCAATGTTTTTCATGATGCATAGTGTGTCCATTTAAATGTCTGAATAATCACTACTTGTACTGTCTTTAAATGACAATAAGAAATGTATGAGAACTATATTTTATAATTTAAAAAACAAAAACATGTCCAAACATGTTAGACCAGCGCTGTTTATTTTAACATAGTTACTTAAAAACATGATAATACCAACTTAGGTTAATTGGCTGCAATAAATTGGCTTCTTGTGTAAATATTGTGTCTATAATTATGCTGAACGAATTTTGTCTTTAATGATTTAAGAAAACAATTCTAATTGTAAGATTTCTCTAGACTCCATTCTTGGGAGTTCATGGGAGTTTTTAGTTAACATCTACATTCTCCCTTAGCTCAGATTAAGAAATGTTACTCGCCTATTGTCTCATAGTGGTGACAACCTTACAATTCATGAGCACATGCATACATTAAATCATTGTTTTAATAATATAATTAGTGAGGTCAGGATTTATTTCAGTCAAATGTGGAAAGTATGCATTGTTTTTAGTCTCAAAATGTCAGATTAGATCAAAACTGAATTTAAGTTCACAAGGTGAAAGACCGAGGTTTTAAGTCAGGTTTATCCGTCTACCTCACAATCATTAAGAAATCTCCAAAAAATGAAGGATTTCCACACATGCTACCAAAACCCATTAGAATACAAGGACTTCTAGTATAACACTTTTTATTTTGGAAGACAAGTCTAAATCTGATTTATTTGGACACCAGAACAAAGTGTCATGCGCCATTACACCAGAGCAGGGCTGCAACTAACAATGTTTTTTGTGCTACCAATTAATCTATTGATTATTTATTCTAATTATCAATTAATAATCAGATAGCAAAAAAAAAAAAAAAATATTTTATTTACAGAATTAAAAAAGGTGAAACTTAAACTTTTCCACTTGAGGAGTTCTGAATAGATCATATTGAAAGATGAAAAGTTTTCTTTTCCCTTAAATGTAAAATATTTTTAATTTTTTTGCAATATTGGTATAATCACTGCTCTAATTGGGTTGCTCTGTCAGCTAAAGGCATGTTTTTGAGTCTCCATACTCTAGTTGACATGTAATCGTTACAAAATTAGTTGATGATTATTTTAATTATCGATTAATCATGATACACCAGAGTTCGATCACACTTTCCTTTTTTTTAAGGGTAAAACAAAATTTGTAATTTTTGTGTACCTGCTGATTAAGTTGTTTTCTTCTAATATACCTAAATGTGAACAACCTTCAAAAAAAAAAAAAATTCAACCACTGCATTTTCGAACCAGAGTGAGAGCTCTTTCATATTTTCCTTTATCCAGCATCCACAGGTGAGCTCTGTTGCCACAGCAACGCTTTACGTTTTTTTCCCCACTTACCGTGCTTTCTCGCGAGATTCTTGTGGGTAGAGGGAGGTGAGGGGAGGCAGAGCCTGAATGATCTCATCTCTCCAGCAGCTGCATACCGCAGCGAAGCAAAGCCGTAACTTTCTATCAAACTTCCGAGTTGCGTTTCGGAACCAGACGGAGGGACAATTTCCAGGACTGAAACCGAAGCCAACACGTTCCTTAGGAAGGCGAGGAAAGGAGCCGCCGCGTATTTTTGTGCGGGACCTAAAACAGCAGCACCTTTAGTTGAGACAAAAGGAGGAAAACGGCGCTGTGTGACATCCTAAAAGGAGAAAAGGTGAGTGGGGAACGTGATCCTGGTCATGTGTAAAGCGCACTGACATCTGTCGGCTCTCTCTGTTAGAAAACAACGCATATCTTTGTGTGTGTGTGTGTGTTTTTTTTCTTTTTTCCAGTGCGCAATCAGTGCCAGTGGTGTCTCTTTTTTAACTAATGGTGGTGAAACCGTCTGTTTCACTGCTGTTGTCTAAATTCAGAAATTCCCTTGAATCTCAAGGGCGCTTTTTGTACACAGGTGGTATTTTCCACGCTCCAGAATTACACGGAGGATGTAGGCTGATCTAAACAAATGAATGTGTCTCCAACCGTTTACCTGGAGATTTCCTTCTCCTTTATCTGTGTAACCCTGAGTTGTCCCTCAGCCATGTCCAGCTCTCCTTCTGCTGAACATCAGGCTGATACAAATCACTGGATTTTCTGACTATGAATGCAAAATATTTAAATCCAGTAGTCCTGATTATCCCAAAGCAAACTCTACATTTAAAATGTTTTTTTTTATGAAGACTTTTAGAGTTTAGTTGTGTTTGAAATGGGCTATATGGCTCTTTGACCAGGGCGACATGACCTGGGTGGGCGCTACTACTATGAAAAAGTTATGACAGTTGCATCCTCAAAAGTTTGTTTGTTTTTTGTTTTTTTTGTGAGTGTGTGCTTAGTAATACAGTGTAATCCGCTTATAGTGATCACGTCCAGAGCCAATTTGAACACTATAAGCGGTTGATTTCACTTATTTTTTTATGCAGAATATCATCTAAATGCCATTTGTGTGGTTTTTCTTTTTTTCTTTTTTTTTTTAACAGTGTCCTGTCTGGCAATGTGGCAATAAGAATAATTGTCTTGATGCCAAAAAGAGTCTAACAGATTTTACTTTCACAAGTGGAGCAGTAGGGCTATTGCCACAGTGTTCCGCTTGTTTCATGCATATAATTATAAAGGGAGGTTTACAGATTATATGGACACTGCAATGTAAATGGAATAGAAGAGGAAAAACGAAAAGATGAAAGAAAGAGGAGATAGAAGGGAGATAACGATAAAAATTTTTCAGTCTGCTTCATCACCTGCAACGAAATGTAAAAAGAACAGCACAACCAACAGACATGGTACGAGACATACAATGAAGTAACACCTTCAAACTATTGCTGAAGTAGTATTATTTAATCTGACATGTACTCTGTGTTACCTGAAGATAAGAATGTGGGCTTTCTGTATGGAAGCCAATCTCAGAGATTCGCTTCCATTTGTGTGGTCTTTCAATGAAAAAAATGAAATGAAACTGGTAGCTTCTGCATTTACTGAATTCTATTGCAGTACCATGCATCTTTAGACTTAGACAGATTTATTTTGTCATTTTGTGTATACAAAAAGAAATTTAGTTTTAAACAGCTCTAGACAATTACATTTTTTAAAGTGCAGCCTTGAAAACAGTAATAAATACATTAAAAAATAGTAATATAAATATATGACTGTATATTTTTAATGACAGTATACTGCGCTGTGCAAGTCTTCAAGTCTGAAGTTTGAAACAAACGGTTTCATAGAACAATAACATAGAAGATAACTGCATAGGCTACAGAAAATTAAAGCTAGCCTACCTCTGTTTTGTGTTGCGGATCTGCTGCGCCGCATTAAGAAATGACTTCACATATTTATCAATGGTTTCCTTGATCAGAGTGATGTCCAACACAGAGTTCACTTCTTTTCCAAAATGATATAAAAGGTCAACGTTTTTGAAACCAACATGCAGGAGACCAGTCTTTAAAAAGCAAACTGCATTCCTCATCTCAGCTCTTGAAGAGATAACGGTCTCCACATATTCATCCTTCATTTCCAGTCATGACTCGCAAGTTAGTTCTAGCTGCCCGATCGTCAACTTTTTACTTTAGCTAGCTAGGCAGAAGAACAATAAAATAACTAGGCTACACGTAATTTTAAAATGATTTTTGCACATGTTTACATTCATAAAATGGCCAAAAATGAACACTATAAGGGGATTTCTTGAGTACTTTAAACAAATTATTTAAACAGCATTTGTATGAAAATGATTCTGTCCCAAGCCTTTTGATCTATATAAGCGATTACAATATCCGTGATCACTATAAGCGGATTCCACTGTAGTTGCTTTGTAGGGAAAAAAAAAGATGCCTGGATTGTGGCTGGTTAATGACAAGTATGTTCTTCCACAGAAATAATAAACCAAAGGGCTAAAAACTATTTTTCTTTTTTCTTTTCAATAAATTGTGTTTTCTTTATAAGTTATATAAACTGCCTGGATTTAGTGTGGTGATC